CCAAACCAGAGATCCAACGTGTTGGATCTTGTATTCTTAGCTCCATCTGAGATTCTAATCTCGATGCCTAGATTGGAGCACGATCTCCAGGGTCTGTCAGATCATGTCCCGATCTGTACAGATCTTGATATCGGTCCCGAACCGCCCGGATCTGGGCGACGGACAATTAAACCCGGAAGCGAGGCTGAGAAGTCTTTCATTTCGGATATTCTCCGGGATCTTGCGGCTATTCCTGTCGCAGCCCTGGCAACCAAGGAAGGCATTGAAGCTTTAGCCAATGCTATTGCAACAGCGTTCTCAGACGCGTGGCTTGCCCATTCGACCGAGTCCAAACCTACCAAGTGCTCCAAGTCCTGGTGGACGGATGAGTGCTCAGAGACATTCGGAGTATATCAGTTGAGCTGTTCGCTCACTGACTACAACAAGTTTAAGAAGGCATGTAAAGATGCCAAGCGTGATTTCTTTGATGAACGCATCGCAGAAATCGCTACCTCTCGCAAGCGCCCGTGGGACCTAATGGAATGGGTCAAACAGTGCAAGCTACCACCCTGTGAGGCTATTCGCAATGGCGATCAGCCTTGCCACGATATGGACGACCTCTGGGACTCCCTGCACGGCACGTATAACTCGGCCTCTGGTCGCGAGTACGATGCCTCAGTCTTAGTTGAGCTTCCTGACAAGCCGGTCCGTGAGTGGGCTGACTTCTCGGAGCATGAGTTGTTGAGTGCTCTTAAGGGGTGCTCCAACTCCTCTGCACCAGGACCGGACCATGTTACATGGGTCCACCTAAAGGAGTTGCTCAAGGATAAACACGTCCTTGCGCTCTTCATCGTGCTGGCCAATGCCTGCCTTCGGGTGGGTCATTGGCCGCTTATATTCAAGGAGTCGCTATCGGTTATCGTCCCAAAGCCGAATAAGCCCTCCTATGCTGTGCTGAAGGCTTTCTGGCCAATCGTACTCCTCATCACTTTTGGTAAACTTATCGAAAAGATGATTGCCAATAGGATACAGTTTGACGCTGTCAAGCATGATATCTTTCATCCCAACCAACTTGGCGGTATCCGCCAGAGGTCCACTGAGGATGCTGGATTGATTCTGACCCATCTCGTGTGAGTGGGGTGGGTTAAGGGTCTCCAGACTAGCGCGCTGGCTTTTGACATTGCGCAGTTCTTCCCTTCTATCAACCATGAAATGTTCATGGCTGTGCTTTGCAAGCAAGGGTTCTTGCTGGTTCTGGTGAAGTTCTTTGCCTCCTATCTTGTTGGCCGTTCCACAGTTTACTGTTGGAACACCTTCCAATCTGACTTGTGGTCTGCGGACGTGGGTGTCGGGCAGGGCTCAGCTCTCTCACCTGTTATCTCTGGGCTATTCATTGCTCCGGTAATGAAGCTCTTCTACATCAAGGCGGTGCCGCTCAACATGACGCTGCTTTCCTTTGTGGATGACGGGACCATTCTGGCCCAATCCAAACAACTTGATGATAATAATGTGGGCCTGCGTAAGGCCTACAAGATTATCTACCTTCTCTTTGTTGCTTTCACACTTGTTCTTGAACACGACAAGACCGAGCTGTTCCACTTTTCGTGTCGACGAGACGCCTACAATCCCTCGCTGGATTTGGGGTACTCCCCACATACCGGTGCTACACCTTTGAAGCCCAAGACCTATTGGAGGTACTTGGGTTTCTACTTTGACCGTGGGCTCACGTTTCATGAGCACGTTCGCTACTACGCCACCAAGGTGTTTACCACCGTGCAGGCCATGCGCATGCTCGGGAACTCTACTAGAGGTCTCTCGCCTAAACAGCGCCGCCTCTTATATCGGTCGTGTGTGGTTCCCATTGCCACATACAGCTATCGTCTCTGGTATTTCGATGGCACCCGCAATAAGGGCGCGATGAACCAGTTGAAACGGATGCAGCGAAAAGCTGCTCTATGGATTACAGGTGCTTTCCGCACCTCTCCCACCAGCGGTCTTGAGGCTCTAGCGGGTCTCATCCCTGTCCACCTTATGCTGAAGAAGCTGGCGACGCGTGCAGTGTATCGCGTCACCACCCTCTCAGACACTCACCCTCTTCACTCTATGATGGGCAAGGGACTCCTTAAGCGAGCCGCACCACATGCTCGCTCAGCCGCCTTGATGACCCCAGCTATGCGAGGGAAAGTCAAGAGCACTGTCATGGAGGTGGACGAGCGCGTCCACACCTTAACTGAGAGCTTCGAGCCCTTTGCACCCAAAGCTCACCCAGGCGATTGGTTACTGGACCGCTATGCGGACCGTCTCCACTTTGACAAGTGTGATCCCACTCAGGATAGGCACCCATACCTTGATGAGCTCATCGCGAAAGCGAGGGCTGACCCACTAACAGTACTGGCTGCAACTGATGGCTCTGTCCCTCAGTCCAACCAGTATCAGGTGGCTTCAGCTGCCATCATCTACAAGGGACATCGCAAGCTCGAGAGGACTCGTTATGTCTCTGGCAGAATTACCGCCCCAGATGCAGAACTCAATGCCATCTCGTGCGCAGTGCGCCTTGCTGTCAAGCAGGCAAACTGCCAACATATTATGGTCTTCACTGACTCTATGGGCTTGGCCCATAGAGTGGTCGACCCTTCCGTGCACTCTGGTCAGGCTTTTAGCCTGTCAGTTTGTCGCACTCTCCAAGAGTGGTTCAAAGCGGATGACCTCCGCCACATCACCTTTGTCTACGTCCCTTCCGCTATGCGGTGGGATATCCATGGTGAAGCACACAAGTACGTCACCGAACTCAAAGTCAGGGTTGGGCGTCGCAAGACGGACAACTCCATAGATGCGCTACGCTCCCGAGCCGCGCACTCAGTCCTGGATTCGTGGAGTTCCACTTTCCAGGACCCAACCTACCAAGGCTCTGAGTTTTTAGAGCTTCAACAGCCTGACGGGCGGCTGCTACAGCCATCGTACCTCAATGGGGGACCTTGGCTTTCAACTTTCGGACACAGTATCACTGAGTTCGCTCGCGTTTGCCGGTGTATAACTGGCCACGCGCCCATTGGAGCGTATTACCGTTGCTTTAAGATTAACGAGCCTCATGGCTGCACTTGTGGGGCTGCTTTGCAGTCCTGCCAGCACGTCCTCTTTCGCTGCCGCAATCGCTACTCTGTGCATTACCCCCGCTTTCTTGGGGATATTGCATCTTTTATGAAGTACAATCCTACAGCATTTGGCTTCAACCGGGACCCCTCGGGTGTCGGATAATCGCTGCGGGCGGGGTTATTCCTCCTTTTGGAGGATTTATGGTGAATTGACACCCTCGGACCTTAGGGTTCGGAGACCTGCGCCCGCCGCTATTTCTTTGTGCTTGCGGCCGCTATTGTAGCGGGTTGCGGCGCTGCTAACGTTCTGCGTCTGGTTTCGGGCAGGCGCATCTCTGGCTTGTCGGCCTCAAGACACCTTGCCACCTCCCGGGTGGTGCTCTCTTATTTCATTTGCGCTGCGTGGCCTCCGAACACCGTCCGACAGCTTTGGGGTTTAGCGGGGCCTCGATGGTCTCTTCCCCTTATCCCACGTCACCGTTTTCACGAGGTGGGTCTGGCTTTATGGGAGTTTAGGCGTTTGAGCCATAAGGCTCGTGGTTGGGGGGGCGGACGTCTTTTAGTAGTTCACTTAGTACCCAGGCCGCGTAGTGTACGTGTTTGTAGATAGCGAGTGGGCTGCCATCGAGCACCGCTATATAAATTGTTGATCAAAAAAAAAAAAAAAAAAAAAACCTGCAGCGGGGTGACGTGTGGAGAGATTGAGCCAGCACAACAGTTGAGTATGTGGCCCTAGTCGAGGTAGGGTCTGGCGAGATTGGCGAGGCGTCACCACCCAAAGACGATGAGCCAGCGACCGATGGTGGTATTGCTGGTGGTGCAGAGCCCGAATCCCCCCCACGACAGCTCCTAGGAACCGCCCCAGGGGGCCTCACGCCCTGACCTCTCGGTGGGAGGTCGGACATGTGTTGCTGGTGCGGTACGAACGATCAGGCGATAAGGTCTGACAAGGCGATAAAGCGTTGGACGACGAAGGAGACGATGAGCTGGTTGTTTACGCTTGTTGACAAGTGGGCGTTCAAGAGAAAGAGGTGAGTGATGGTATTTAGCTCTATTAATGACAAGATACAAGCCAAATAATGCCAAAATTTGCAAAAGTAATCTACTTTTTCAGTATTTTGCATTTTTCTTGCCAAGCAGAGCAGCTGATGACATCAAATAACTTGATTCAGGGTCAACCAAAGGTGCTCTACAAATTCTGATGCTTTTTCCTAAAAAGAATGTTTATTAAGCATCTTGTTACATACTCTATATACTGGACTTGGGCAATAGCCCAACAGACTATTATCTATTCTGATGTGTAATAGGTACTGAGTAGTAGTCCATTTTGATACATATACTGGAGTCCAGTGGAGTCCAGTAAGACTCCAGTAAGACTCCAGTATCACACTCCACTGAACTCCACTATACCTTCTTACTGGAGTCCACTGGAGTCCACTGAACTCCAGTATAATTCCACTGGACTCCACTGGACTCCACTGGATAATATGCCAACTCCACTGGAGTCCAGTGGAGTCCTATAGCACTCTGTGGGGGACCATAAAGTACTGGACGAAGGTGATGCGGCAGAGGTCATCCGCTTTGAACCACTCTTGGAGAGCGCGACAAACTGACAAGCTAAAAGCCTGACCAGAATGCACGGAAGGGTCCACTGCTTTATGGGCCGAGCCCATAGAATCAGTAAAGACCATGATATGTTGGCAGTTTGCCTGCTTGACAGCAAGGCGCACTGCACACAAGATGGCATTGAGTTCCACATCAGGGGCGGTAACTCTGCCAGAGACATAGCGAGTCCTCTCGAGCTTGCGATGTCCCTTGTAGATGATGGCAGCCGAAGCCACCTGATACTGGTTGGACTGAGGGACAGAGCCATCAGTTGCAGCCAGTACTGTTAGTGGGTTGGCCCTCGCTTTCGCGATGAGCTCATCAAGGTATGGGTGCCTATCCTGAGTGGGATCACACTTGTCAAAGTGGAGACGGTCCGCATAGCGGTCCAGTAACCAATCGCCTGGGCGAGCTTCAGGCGCAAAGGGCTCGAAGCTCTCAGTTAAGGTGTGGACGCGCTTGTCCACCTCCATGACGGTGCTCTTGACTTTCCCCTGCATAGCCGGGGTCATCAACATGGCAGAGTGGGCGTGAGGTTCAGCCCGTTTGAGAAGCCCCTCGCCCATCATGAAGTGAAGAGGGTGAGTGTCTGAGAGGGTAGCGACGCGATACACTGCACGTGTCGCCAGCTTCTTCAGCATGAGATGAACAGGGATTAGTCCAGCGAGGGCCTCAAGACCGCCTGTGGGTGAGGTGCAGAAGGCACCGGTGATCCATAGAGCAGCTTTTCGCTGCATCCGTTTCAACTGGTTCATCACGCCCTTATTGCGGGCGCCGTCGAAATACCAGAGATGATAACCGTATGTGGCAATGGGAACCACACATGACCGATATAAGAGGCGGTGCTGTTTAGGCGAGAGACCTCTAGTAGAGTTTCCGAGCATGCGCATGGCCTGCACGGTGGTGAACGCCTTGGTGGCGTAGTAGCGAACGTGCTCATGAAACGTGAGCCCACGGTCAAAGTAGAAACCCAAGTACCTCCAATAGGTCTTGGGCTTCAAAGGTGTAGCACCGGTATGTGGGGAGTACCCCAAATCCAGCGAGGGATTGTAGGCGTCTCGTCGACACGAAAAGTGGAACAGCTCGGTCTTGTCGTGTTCAAGAACAAGTGTGAAAGCAACAAAGAGAAGGTAGATAATTTTGTAGGCCTTATGCAGGCCCACATTATTATCATCGAGTTGTTTGGATTGGGCCAGAATGGTCCCGTCATCCACAAAGGAAAGCAGTGTCGTGTTGAGCGCCGCCGCTTTGGTATAGAAGAGCTTCATTACCGGAGCAATGAACAGCCCAGAGATAACAGGCGAGAGAGCTGAGCCCTGTCCGACACCCATGTCCGCAGACTGCGAGTCAGATTGGAAGGTGTTCCAGCAGTAGACTGTGGAACGACCAACAAGATAAGAGGCAAAGAACTCCACCACAACCGGCGAGAACCCTTGCTTGCGAAGTACAGCCATGAACATCTCATGGTTGATAGAAGGGAAGAACTGCGTGATGTCAAAAGCCAGCATGCTAGTCTGGAGACCCTTAACCCACCCCGCTCACACGAGATGAGTCAAAATCAATCCAGCATCCTCAGTGGACCTCTGGCGGATGCCGCCAAGTTGGTTGGGATGGAAGATATCATGCTTGACAGCGTCAAACTGTACCCTATTGGCAATCATCTTTTCAATAAGTTTACCAAAAGTGATGAGGAGTACGATCAGCCTGAAGGCCTTCGGTATGGCATAGGAGGGCTTATTTGGCTTTGGAACCATAACTGCTGATTTGTCTTCTAGCAGCGCATATGAGCTTGAGGAATCCTCAGAGTTTGAAGATAATGACTGAACAAAATTGGCACAATTTTGAAGTTGGAGGACTTATGTAGTGGTGAGTTTTTATCAAGTTCTGACTGTTCCACATGTAGACTTTTTTGTTCTGAAAAGTAGCTTGACAGTGTAAAGAAGGACTATATTGCTCCAATTGATAAAGATCAATATCTCATGTTGCTATTCCTTCTATGAAATAATTTTCCTTTCTCTAAAGTGAACGCCCTAAATATTAAATCATTAGCAAGACCAGCACCAAATCATTGATGAGATTCTCACAATATTCTCCCATTGCAGATACCGTATAGCCAATATCTTTAACCATTTCATTTCCTCCACACTTGATGGGATTCTTCCATACCAAACTGTCTTCATGTGCTTCAAGCTGATGAGAGCATTGAGTGAAAGGAATAAACACCGTTCCATAGTCATGAAGATTCATATAGTCACTGGACACATATAGTCAACCTTGCACCAATGTCCAGGAAGGTCAGCCCAGGCAGATGTCGATGCTTGAAGATCAAATCCACGTTGTCAATACTTGTCAAAGCCTTGACAAGTTTTGTCAGTTTGAACCCTGATTATCCCCTTTCCCATGAGTGTCAATGTGGGATATAAACACACCACTCCATACGAGGCTATATAGTTCATAACCAGAGTAGAATGAAATTCTACAATAGGTTGAATGGCAGAGCTTGTGCGGGATATGATAATATTGATGGTCCAATTGCTTTGAGGATGCTTGAAGAGCAGAACGTCAAGAACACTGGCCATGTCATAAGCTGTGTCTTTGTGGTCGTCATTCTCCTTCCATCCTCTCTCCACAATATATGCCTTGAGGATATGCATCCACTGCACCGGAACATAGATATCGAGATCTTGAGGGATAAATGTGCCATGAAAGAAGACAAGGAGAGCATAAGAGCCAGGAGATTATAGCATGGCTAATACCCATGACCACAAGGAGAATGTTGGGAGGTCCCAAAAGATAGCTTGCTGTGATTTCTTCAACTGTGATGTGCAAATCCTGCTGAACAGCATCAAAAGCAGGATTTCCTGCTCTGTCCTCATCATTGCTATATGCTTCACATAGGGCTTCTATAGGCATCTGTGAGCATTTGAATAGTAACTTTAGATGGGAGACTCACTGCTGTTTGGCGACATTTCTCAATGTGCTGGCAAGAGGTAGAGAACAGCTTGACAATCGCCTAAGGAGTATTTTGCAGGAAGTATTTCTGATGTTGGTTTCTCCATTTGGCTGAATTAATCTCCACCCTTGACCTGGAAGTTGATTTTCTTGAAATTTTTAATTCAAATATACGGCTCCTGCAACCATATCCAATTAAAGCCCTTCTATATTCTACTCAATTCTCATCTGCCGAATCTTACTCTCCATCTCCTTGACCTCCTCATCCTGATATCCTACTTTCCGTTTAAGTGTGGCTGATATTATGCTCTGGTTCTTGACTCGATTTCAGGCAATGGCAGCATTCTATGTTTGCATTTAGTCAGCTATATTGGTGAATGACATCTGCAGTTTTTTTTTTTTTTTTTGATCAACAATTTATATAGCGGTGCTCGATGGCAGCCTGCTCGCTATCTACAAACACATACACTACGCGGCCTGGGTACTAAGTAAACTACTAAAAGACGTCCGCCCCCCCAACCACGAGCCTTATGGCTCAAACGCCTAAACTCCCATAAAGCCAGACCCACCTTGCGAAAACGGTGACGTGGGATAAGGGGAAGAGACCATCGAGGCCCCGCTAAACCCCAAAGCCGTCGGACGCTGTTCGGAGGCCACGCAGCGCAAATGAGATAAGAACAGCACCACCCGGGAGGTGGCAGGGTGTCTTGAGGCCGACCAGCCAGAGAGCGCCTGCCCAAGACCAGACGCAGAGAGTTAGCGGCGCCGCAACCCGCTATAATAGCAGCCGCAAACGCAAAGAAATAGCGGTGGGTGCAGGTCTTCGAACCCTAGAGCTCGGTGGTGTCAATTCACCATAAATCCCCCGAAAGGAGGAACAACCCCGCCCACAGCGATTATCCGACACCCGATGGGTCCCGGTTGAAGCCAAATGCTGTAGGGTTGTACTTCATAAACGATGCAATATCCCCGAGAAAACGGGGATAATGTACAGAATATCTATCGCGACAGCGAAAGAGGATATGCTTGCGGGACTGCAAAGCAGCCCCGCAAGTGCAGCCGTGAGGCTCGTTAATCTTGAAGCGACGATAATACGCTCCAATGGGCACGTGGCCAGTTATACACCGGCAAACGCGGGCGAACTCAGTAATACTGTGTCCGAAGGTTGAAAGCCAAGGTCCCCCATTGAGGTACGATGGCTGTAGCGGCCGCCCGTCAGGCTGGTGAAGCTCTAAAAACTCAGAGCCCCGGTAGGTTGGATCCTGGAAAGTGGAGTTCCACGAATCCAGGACTGAGTGCGCCGCTCGAGAGCGTAGCGCGTCTATGGAGTTGTCCGTCTTGCGACGTCCAACCCTGACTTTAAGCTCGGTGACGTACTTGTGTACTTCACCATGAATATCCCACCGCAGAGCGGATGGGATGTAGACGAAGGTAACGTGGCGAAAATCGTTCGCCTCAAACCACTCTTGAAGAACGCGGCAAACTGCCAGGCTAAAGGCCTGACCAGAAATGCCTCCGTCTTAGACGAGCTTCCTGATGAGCCAGTCCGCGAGTGGGCTGACTTCTCAGAGCATGAGTTGTTGAGTGCCCTTAAGGGGTGCTCCAACTCCTCTGCACCAGGACCGGACCACATTACATGGGTCCACCTAAAGGAGTTGCTCAAGGATAAACACGTCCTTGTGCTCTTCATCGTGTTGGCCAACGCTTGCCTTCGGGTGGGTCATTGGCCACGTATATTCAAGGAGTCGCTATCGGTTATCGTTCCGAAACCGAATAAGCCCTCCTACTCCATGCCGAAGGCTTTTAGGCTGATTGTACTCCTCATCACTTTCGGTAAACTTATCGAAAAGATGATTGCCAATAGGATACAGTTTGACGCCGTCAAGCATGATATCTTCCATCCCAACCAACTTGGCGGCATCCGCCAGAGGTCCACTGAGGATGCTGGATTGATTCTGACTCATCTTGTAGGAGCGGGGTGGGTTAAGGGTCTCCAGACTAGCGCGCTGGCTTTTGACATTGCGCAGTTCTTCCCTTCTATCAACCATGAGATGTTCATGGCTGTTCTTCGTAAGCAGGGGTTTTCGCCGGTCCTGGTGGAATTCTTTGCCTCTTACCTTGTAGGCCGTTCCACAGCTTACTGTTGGAACACCTTCCAATCCGACCCACGGTCAGCGGATGTGGGTGTCGGGCAGGGCTCAGCTCTTTCGCCTGTTATCTCTGGGCTGTTCATTGCTCCGGTCATGAAGCTCTTCTACATCAAGGCGGCGCCACTCAACATGACGCTGCTTTCCTTTGTGGATGATGGGACCATTCTGGCCCAATCCAAACAACTTGATGATAATAATGTGGGCCTGCGTAAGGCATACAAAATTATCTACCTCCTCTTCGTTGCCTTCGCGCTCGTTCTTGAACACGACAAGACCGAGTTGTTTCACTTTTCGCGTCAACGAGACGCCTACAATCCTTCGCTGGATTTGGGGTATGCCCCTCATACCGGTGCTACACCTTTGAAGCCCAAGACCTATTGGCGGTACTTGGGCTTCTACTTTGACCGCGGGCTCACGTTTCATGAGCACGTTCGCTACTACGCCACCAAGGCGTTCACCACCGTGCAGGCCATGCGCATGCTCGGAAACTCTACTAGAGGTCTCTCGCCTAAACAGCGCCGCCTCTTATATAGGTCATGTGTGGTTCCCATTGCCACATATGGCTATCGTCTCTGGTATTTTGATGGTGCCCGTAACAAGGGCACGATGAACCAGCTAAAACGGATGCAGCGGAAAGCTGCTCTATGGATCACGGGTGCTTTTCGCACCTCACCTACAGGCGGTCTTGAGGCCCTTGCTGGCCTCATCCCCGTCCATCTCATGCTGAAGAAGTTGGTGACGCGCGCAGTGTATTGCGTCGCTACCCTCTCAGACACTCATCCTCTTCGCTCTATGATGGGCGAAGGACTCCTCAAGCGAGCTGCACCACACGCTCGCTCTGCCGCCTTGATGACCCCAGCTATGCGAGGGAAAGTCAAGAGCACTGTTATGGAGGTGGGCGAGCGTGTCCACACCTTAACTGAGAGCTTTGAGCCCTTTGCGCCCGAAGCTCGCCCAGGCGATCGGTTATTGGACCGCTATGCGGACCGTATCCATTTTGACGAGCGTGATCCTGGCCAGGATAGGCGCCCATATCTAGACGAGCTCATCACGAGAGCGAGGGCCGACCCACTAACAGTACTGGCTGCAACTGATGGCTCCGTCCCTCAGTCCAACCAGTATCAGGCGGCTTCGGCTGCTATAATCTACAAGGGACATTGCGAGCTCGAGAGGACTCGTTATGTCTCTGGCAGAATTACCGCCCCAGACGCGGAACTCAATGCCATCTCGTGTGCAGTACGCCTTGCTGTCAAGCAGGCAAACTGTCAACATATCATGGTCTTTACTGACTCCATGGGCTCAGCCCATAGAGCGGTTGACCCCTCCGTACATTCTGGTCAGGCTTTTAGCCTGTCAGTTTGCCGCGTTCTTCAAGAGTGGTTTGAGCCGGATGATCTCCGCCGCATTACCTTCATTTACGTCCCATCTGCTCTGCGGTGGGATATCCATGGTGAAGCACACAAGTACGTCACCGAGCTCAAAGTCAGGGTTGGACGTCGCAAGACGGACAACTCCATAGACGCACTACGCTCTCGAGCCGCGCACTCAGTCCTGGATTCGTGGAGTTCCACTTTCCAGGATCCAACCTACCGGGGCTCTGAGTTTTTAGAGCTTCAACAGCCTGACGGGCGGCCGCTACAGCCATCGTACCTCAATGGGGGACCTTGGCTTTCAACCTTCGGACACAGTATTACTGAGTTCGCCCGCGTTTGCTGGTGTATAACTGGCCACGCGCCCATTGGAGCGTATTATCGTCGCTTCAAGATTAATGAGCCTCATGGCTGCACTTGCGGGGCTGCTTTGCAGTCTCGCCAGCATATCCTCCTTCGCTGTCGCGATAGATATTCTATACACTATCCCTGTTTTCTCAGGGATATTGCATCGTTTATGAAGTACAACCCTACAGCATTTGGCTTCAACCGGGACCCTTCGGGTGTCGGATAATCGTTGCGGGTGGGGTTGTTCCTCCTTTCGGGGGATTTATGGTGAATTGACACCACCGAGCTCTAGGGTTCGAAGACCTGCACCCACCGCTATTTCTTCGCGCTTGCGGCCGCTATTGTAGTGGGTTGCAGCGCTGCTAACATTCTGCGTCTGGTTTCGGGCAGGCGCTGCTCTGGCTTGTCGGCCTTAAGACACCCTGCCACCTCCCGGGTGGTGCTCTCTTATCTCATTTGCGCTGCATGGCCTCCGAACAGCGTCCGACGGCTTTGGGGCTTAGCGGGGCCTCGATGGTCTCTTCCCCTTATCCCGCGTCACCGTTTTCGCGAGGTGGGTCTGGCTTTATGGGAGCTTCGGCGTTTGAGCCATAAGGCTCGCGGTTGGGGGGGCGGACGTCTTTTAGTGGTTTACTTAGTAACCAGGCTGCGTAGCGTACGTGTTTGTAGATAGCGAGCAGCCTGCCATCGAGCACCGCTATATAAATTGTTGATTAAAAAAAAAAAAAAAAGCCCGAATGTCCCTTGTAGATTATAGCAGCCGAAGCCGCCTGATACTGGTTGGACTGAGGGACAGAGCCATCAGTTGCAGCCAGTACTGTTAGTGGGTCGGCCCTCGCTTTCGCGATGAGCTCGTCTAGATATGGGCGCCTATCCTGGCCAGGATCGCGCTCGTCAAAGTGGATACGGTCCGCATAGCGGTCCAGTAACCAATCGCCTGGGCGAGCTTCAGGCGCAAAAGGTTCGAAGCTCTCAGTTAAGGTGTGGACGCGCTCGTCCACCTCCATGACAGTGCTCTTGACTTTCCCTCGCATAGCTGGGGTCATCAAGGCGGCGGAGCGAGCATGTGGTGCGGCTCGCTTGAGGAGTCCCTCGCCCATCATGGAGCGAAGAGGGTGGGTGTCTGAGAGGGTAGCGACGCGATACACTGCGCGCATCGCCAACTTCTTCAGCATGAGATGGACGGGGATGAGGCCCGCTAGAGCCTCAAGACCGCCTGTAGGGGAGGTGCAGAAAGCACCTGTAATCCATAGAGCAGCTTTCCGCTGCATCCGTTTTAGCTGGTTCAGTGCGCCCTTATTGCGAGCGCCGTCAAAATACCAGAGACAATAGCCATATGTGGCAATGGGGACCACACATGACCGGTATAAGAGGCGGCGCTGTTTAGGCGAAAGACCTCTCGTAGAGTTCCCGAGCATGCGCATGGCCTGCACGGTGGTAAACGCCTTGGTGGCGTAGTAGCGAACGTGCTCATGAAACGTGAGCCCGTGGTCAAAGTAGAAACCCAAGTACCTCCAATAGGTCTTGGGCTTCAAAGGTGTAGTGCCGGTATGCGGGGCGTACCCCAAGTCCAGCGAGGGATCGTAGGCGTCTCGTCGACACGAAAACTGGAACAACTCGGTCTTGTCGTGTTCAAGAACGAGTGCGAAAGCAACAAAGAGAAGGTAGATAATTTTGTAGGCCTTACGCAGGCCCACATTATTATCATCAAGCTGTTTGGATTGGGCCAGAATGGTCCCATCATCCACAAAGGAAAGCAGCGTCATGTTGAGTGGTGCCGCCTTGATGTAGAAGAGCTTCATTACCGGAGCAATGAACAGCCCAGAGATAACAGGCGAAAGAGCTGAGCCCTGCCCAACACCCACGTCCGCAGACTGCAAGTCGGATTGGAAGGTGTTCCAACAATAGACTGTGGAACGACCAACAAGATAAGAGGCAAAGAACTCCATCAGAACTGGCGAGAACCCTTGCTTGCGGATTACAGCCATGAACATCTCATGGTTGATAGAAGGGAAGAACTGCGCGATGTCAAAAGCCAGCACGCTAGTCTGGAACCCTTAACCCACCCCGCTCGCACGAGATGGGTCAGAATCAATCCAGCATCCTCAGTGGACCTCTGGCGAATACCGCCAAGTTGGTTGGGATGAAAGATATCATGCTTGACGGCGTCAAACTGTATCCTATTGGCAATCATCTTTTCGATAAGTTTACCGAAAGTGATGAGGAGTACAATTGGCCTGAAGGCCTTCGGCACGGAGTAGGAGGGCTTATTCAGTTTCGGAACGATAACCGATAGCGACTCCTTGAATATACGTGGCCAATGACCCACCCGAAGGCAAGCGTTGGCCAACACGATGAAGAGCGCAAGGACGTGTTTATCCTTGAGCAGCTCCTTTAGGTGGACCCATGTAATATGGTCCGGTCCTGGTGCAGAGGAGTTGGAGCACCCCTTAAGGGCACTCAACAACTCATGCTCCGAGAAGTCAGCCCACTCACGGACCGGCTCGTCGGGAAGCTCGTCTAAGACTGAGGCGTCGTACTCGCGACCAGAGGCCGAGTTGTACGTGCCGTGGAGGGCGTCCCAAAGGTCGTCCATATCATGGCAAGGCTGGTCGCCATTGCGAATAGCCTCACAGGGTGGTAGCTTGCGCTGTTTGACCCATTCCATTAGGTCCCACGGGCGCTTGCGAGAGGTAGCGATTTCTGCGATATGTTCATCGAAGAAATCACGTTTGGCGTCCTTACACGCCTTCTTAAACTTGTTATAATCAGCGAGCGAGCGGCTCAACGACTTGGAGCGCTTGGTAGGTTTGGACTCGGTCGAATGGGCAAGCCATGCGTCCGAGAACGCTGTTGCAATAGCATTGGCTAAAGCTTCAACGCCTTCCTTGGTTGCCGGGGCTGCGACAGGGATAGCCACAAGATCGCAGAGAATGTCCGAAATGAAAGACTTCTCAGCCTCGCTTCCGGGTTTAATTGTCCGTCGCCCAGATCCGGGCGGTTCGGGACCGATATCAAGATCTGTGCAGATCGGGACATGATCTGACGGACCCTGGAGATCGTGCTCCAATCTGGGCATTGAGATTAAGATCTCAGATGGAGCTAAGAATACAAGATCCAAGACGTTGGATCTCTGGTTTGGATTAGGACTGATCCGCGTCGGTCCATGGTTAGAAGGTCGTGCCCACTCGAGGCCGATCTGAGATGCGGTATCCCGCAGTGATATTGCCGTCGACGACTCACCATGCTCATAGTCATCCCAAGTCGTCGACACGCAGTTAAAGTCACCAGCCATGTAAATGAAAGGTGGTAAAGAATGCACACGAGCAGCTAAGTGCTCAATGGCTGTGTGTTGATCGTCAGAGTAGACGTTCATCAGATTAAGAACCTCACCCCCGCTGAAGAGGGAGAGGACGACGATGTCGCGATGGTCGATGATGTCGCGACGCATGGCGGGACGATAGCGGGATAACCTAGTCGAAACATAGGCGATCACACGGGGAACCTCCCCTTCCTTAATGCGCACCATTTGCAGCCAGTCGGGATGCTTTGGTGCGCCGATAACCTCATCGCCCTCCATACTAGTGGTGGACGGTGCGTGTCTTATGAAATTCCAAGGCGTTTCTTGGAAGAATAAAATATCAAATCTGTTTTTACAAATTTCGAGGAGAGTGTCTACGTGTGCATATGTGTGACGAACGTTCTGACAGTAAATACGTAGCCCGCTATTTAGATCCTGCTGGTTTCCCAACATTAGTCTAGGTTCGGGGGTTAGTAAGTTGGCGGCGAGCAGCGTGCTCACGTACCTGACGATACTCGGCCATGATCCACTCACGGTCGTAGCAATGGGCCCAGAACTTACACGAGGCCGAGTTGGCAGCGTGGTCCTTGTGGCAATTGACGCAGCGGCCCTTGTGGGGGCAGGGCTGGTCGCGAGGGGTGGGCGGCACAGGAGGCTTTGCTTTCGCGTTGCCCTTGCAACATCCCGCATGTTGGCGGTGCTCCTTCTGCTCGTGTGGGCCCGAGCAGATGGGGCAAGAGAGTTGTTTCGCCTTGCAGGCGACGGTGGGGTGGCCCCACTTCCAGCAGCGCTGGCATAGCGGGACCCATGACATCTGCAGTTCTTGAGCTTACCCGGAGTGGTGAGCTATCAAGCAAGGTCAATGCCCGCATAACTATGAGCATCTTGTACTTCTGCTCCTTTAAACGAATGACTATGAAGGATACTTGAGCCTCTGCTATATCTCCTATGCGAAACTTGATTGGATTGATGGCCTCGTATCTGAATAAGAAATCAACACGATTAGTCCACCAGCAGAACTTATGGGCTATGTTACTAACCGTTGTTTTTCACCCTCCTGATAGCGCTCATAATACTCCACAGAATTATCTTCGGTGTGGACCAGAGTTCCATCAGTAGTGCATGCTGCAAGAATGCCATCAGGATCAATGGCAAAAGAGAAGGAGATGATTTGGTCTGGAGATGCCTGAGAGCGAGGAGTGAAGTAGTGGTTCACCATATCGATAGTAAGATACCCAGCACTGCTTGAAGCATTCCACAGTTCGAGAGATCCTTCAGGAAAATGGTGAGCAAAAATATTATGGATTTCTTCAATGCATCTTATTGCATCAGCAAAGGATTCTGATCCAAAACCTGTCAAGGCTGCTGACTGGCGGAAGTATGCCTGCTGACAGGGTTTGCTATAAGCCCTGTTTTTTTTTTTTTTTTTTTTTTTTTTTTTTTGATCAACAATTTATATAGCGGTGCTCGATGGCAGCCCGCTCGCTATCTACAAACACGTACACTACGCAGCCTGGGTACTAAGTAAACTACTAAAAGACGTCCGCCCCCCCAACCACGAGCCTTATGGCTCAAACACCTAAACTCCCACAAAGCCAGACCCACCTCGCGAAAACGGTGACGCAGGATAAGGGGAAGAGACCATCGAGGCCCTGCTAAACCCCAAAGCTGTCGGACGCTGTTCGGAGGCCACGCAGCACAAATGAAATAAGAACAGCACCACCCGGGAGGTGGCAGGGTGTCTTGAGGCCGACAAGCCAGAGAAGCGCCTGCCCGAAACCAGACGCAGAAAGTTAGCGGCGCCGCAATCCACTATAATAGCGGCCGCAAGCGCGAAGAAATAGCGGTAGGCGCAGGTCTTCGAACCCTAGAGCTCGGTGGTGTCAATTCACCATAAATCCCCCGAAAGGAGGAACAACCCCACCCGCAGCGATTATCCGACACCCGAAGGGTCCCGGGTGAAGCCAAACACCGTGGGGTTGTACTTCATAAAAGATGCAATATCCCCTGAGAAAGCGGGGGTAATGCACAGAGTAGCGATTGCGACAGTGACAGAGGATATGCTGGCGAGACTGCAGAGCAGCCCCGCAAGTGCAGCCATGAGGCTCGTTGATCTTGAAGCGACGGTAATACACTCCAATGGGCGCATGGCCAGTTATACACCGGCAAACGCGAGCGAACTCAGTGATACTGTGTCCAAAGGTTGAAAGCCAAGGTCCCCCATTGAGGTATGATGGCTGTAGCGGCCGCCCGTCCGGCTGTTGAAGCTCTAAGAATTCAGAGCCTCGGTAGGTTGGATTCTGGAAAGTGGAACTCCATGAATCCAGGACTGAGTGCGCAGCTCGAGAGTGTAGCACGTCTATAGAGTTGTCCATCTTGCGGCGTCCAACCCTGACTTTGAGGTCAGTGACGTACTTGTGTGCCTCACCATGGATATCCCACCGCAAAGCGGATGGAACGTAAACGAAGGTGATGCGGCGGAGATCATCTGCCTCAAACCACTCTTGGAGAGCGCGACAAACCGACAGGCTGAAAGCCTGACCAGAGTGCACGGAAGGGTCAACCACTCTATGGGCCGAGCCCATAGAGTCAGTGAAGACCATAATGCTATAAGCCCTGTCATAAACCATTAATTCATATATTCTGCAGTCTGTTTGCTTACATCTTGAATGGCCACTTAATAGGAGGCATGGCACTGCCAGTTATAATGCCCTGGACTTGCAAGACAACTTCTTCAATTCCACCATCATTGTCCAAGTAAGTCAGCTTCCAGCATCGAGGATATTCAGTATATGTAGGCTGTACAAAATGATGCAGCCCCTCCTCCTAAATGCTGTCAGTGAGTTGCACATCTATTTTCTCTGAAACAAGAGCACATACCATGTCAAACTTGCAGAGCTGAAGATGGTTTGGCATGCGTTCTTTGGACATTTTTTCCAGAGATGTTTCTGTGTAACATCTTTCAGTCCTCCATCTACCAAATCAATAGACAACTTACTAGCTGCATTTATGTCATAGTGTTCATCCATGGCAGAAATTGGAAGGTGGGGAGTCTGAATGAGCAGCGTCAGCGGTTAATATGAGAAGAGGATTTGATGCCCTTACAAGTATTGATGCAGGGTCATCAGTCATATATTAGCCGCTTGTTTAGCGTGTTTTGCTGTCTCCAATTTCTGCGGTCCTGCACAGTTTGCCATTTATTGGTGCCTCAATTTGTTCATAAATTTGGGGTGAACCCCCATTGAACTCTGCTGACATCCGGAGCCTGGGTTCTATAGCAACAGAGAGATATTTATTGTGGCTGTAGTTTCACTCTTAACCACAAATCATCCTGCCATTCGTTGCTGCTGGTCCTCTATTCGATATGCCCTGCCAGTCTCATCCCTCATCTAATTTGTGGAGAAACTCCTCTCTGGAACTCCTCGATATTGGCTCCGTCAATGCCAACAGCCGTCAGTTAGTGCTCGCACACCTGGAGGTGCTTGCCACCAAACTTGGTTTCAGCGTTACCAAAAGGGGTATGTGTCACAGGCCTCTCTCTCTCGAACACCCACTTGTCAACAAGCACAAACAACCAGCTCACCATCTCGCACATTGTCTAGCACTTTATCGACAAGCCAGAAGATACTTTTGATCGTTCGTACCGCAACGGCAACACATGTCCGACCTCCCACTGAGAGGTCAGGGCACGAGGCCCCCCAGGGCGGTTCCTAGGAGCCGTCGTGGAGGGGACTCGGGCTCCGCCCCACCAGCAATACCACCATTGGTCGCTGGCTCATCGTCTTTTGGCGGTGATGCCTCGCCAATCTCGCTGGACCCTACCTCGACTAGGGCCACATACTCGACGGTCGTGCCAGCTCGATCTCGCCACACGTCGCCCTGCCGCAGGTCCCGTTCCACCACGGGTTCTGCCCATTCATCTGCAGATGAGTCTGACTCAGGGACGGCCCACCCCCAGGAGATGGAGGTTGAGGGCACCCAGGGAGGGGAGGAGGTCTCGAGGGACCCCTCTGTCGACCTTCTTCTAGGTCAATACACCTTGAAGTTCTGAGACACAGTCGAGGATCTTCCTGGCGATCTTGAGGTATTGACCACCTCCATTGCGAAGGCCACAGACTGGGTTCTGCGGGCCGCGCACCACAATCCGCTCACCATCGATGGGGGCGATGCCTTTGTGGCCCAGATGATGTCCTTCGTGAACGCCGTCATGGCCACCGACTTTAGTCATATTCGCGGACCAGGCGAACTCGACAACTTTTCGCTCGCCTCTCTCCTTGAGGCCGAGACGTCTTCCAAGGACGAGCCAACCATCCACCCGGCTCCCGTATTCAGGCCTCCTCCTCCTGCTGCCCATGGGCCGCTCGATGAGGGTGTCGCTGGCATAGGGGCTCCACCCGACGTCCTCATGCAGGCATTGGACGACCTTGGTTGCCCATCCTCCCCATCTTGCATCCCCGCTTCCAAGAAGCGCAAGGGTGTCGATCGTCCTGTCCCACCTCCTCCACAGAAGAAGAGCAAGGTGGCCTACTCTCACCCTGGTCCGCCTCCGCCGATCAACCGCGCTACTAAACCCAAGCCCCGTCCAACAACGTGGGCAGGGATTGCACGACAGGCCGCTCCGATGCCTCCCCCGCCTCCTGGCTTGGGACCGCAGCGTCGCGGGCCTTCTCCTCCTCCCCCTGCATTCCCAACGGGCCCGATGAAGACTTCACCTCATCGGTCCGTTCCCTCTTTTACTTCCGAGGGCCCCACCCGGAAGCAGGTTCTTGTGTCGTTCGGGGGCACCCCTCCTGATCTCACGAAATTCTTCACCGAGTCGGCTGTTTGTGCAGCCAACGGGTACCTAAGGGATGGTCGATCTATGTTAAAGGTCACCTCCATCGTCTGTGCCTACGACGGTTTGTCGTTGGTCACTCCCGCTGTTGCCAGTCCGTCCGACCTGGACGTACTGCGTAACTTTATTTGCGAAAGCCTCCCAAAGGGTACTCCGTTCGAGGTTGCGCTCCCATTGTCGACATCTTTTATAAAGATCCTCGATGTTCCCTACTTCGATCCGAAAGGGTTGAAGATCACCCAGGAGGCGCTTGAAAAGGCCCTCCGTACCTCGGTTCATGCTGAGGTTTTCGCATATCTGAGCACCAAGCCTCGGATCGACCGCAACTCGGCGCACTCGACATCGTGCACCGTCTACTGCAACGTCTGGGACTCCCAGCAGGGAACCCGTGCCAAGAAGGCCTTAGGCCAACCGATCTTCCTTGCTGGACAGTCCTGCGCAATCAGGCCCGCCGCACGACACACCGGGGTCCCGCTATGCCAGCGCTGCTGGAAGTGGGGCCACCCCACCGTCACCTGCAAGGCGAAACAACTCTCTTGCCCCATCTGCTCGGGTCCGCACGAGCAGAAGGAGCATCGTCAACATGCGGGATGTTGCAAGGGCAACGCGAAAGCAAAGCCTCCTGTGCCGCCCACCCCTCGCGACCAGCCCTGCCCCCATAAGGGCCGCTGCGTCAACTGCCATAAGGACCACGCCGCCAATTCAGCGTCGTGCAAGTTCTGGGCCCACCGCTACGATCGTGAATGGATCATGAACGAGTATCGTCAGGTACGTGAGCATGCTGCTCGCCGCCAACTTACTAACCCCCGAACCTAGACTAATGTTGGGAAACCTTCAGGATCTAAATAGCGGGTTACGTATTTATTGTCAGAACGTTCGCCATACCTATGCCCACGTCGATACACTTCTCGAAATTTGTAAAACCAAATTTGATATTTTATTTTTCCAAGAAACCCCTTGGAATTTCATAAGACACGCACCGTCCACCACTAGTATGGAGGGCGATGAGGTTATCGGCGCACCAAAGCATCCCGACTGGCTGCAAATGGTGCGCATTAAGGAAGGGGAAGTTCCCTGCGTGATCGCCTATGTTTCGACTAGGCTATCCCGCTATCGTCCCGCTATGCGTCGCGACATTGTCGACCATCGCGACATCCTCGTCCTCTCCCTCTTTAGTGGGGGCGAGGTCCTTAACTTAATGAACGTCTATTCCGACGATCAACACACAGCCATTGAGCACCTTGCTGCTCATGTGCATTCTCTACCACCCTTCATTTATATGGCCGGTGACTTTAACTGCGTGTCGACAACTTGGGATGACTATGAGCATGGTGAGTCGTCAACGGCAATATCCCTGTGGGACACCGCATCTCAGATCGGCCTTGAGTGGGCACGACCTTCTAACCATGGACCGACGCGGATCAGTCCTAATCCAAACCAGAGATCCAATGTCTTGGATCTTGTATTCTTAGCTCCATCTGAGATCTTAATCTCGATGCCCAGATTGGAGCACGATCTCCAGGGTCCGTCAGATCATGTCCCGATCTGTACAGATCTTGATATCGGTCCCGAACCGCCCAGATCTGGGCGACGGACAATTAAACCCGGAAGCGAGGCTGAGAAGTCTTTCATTTCGGATATTCTCCGGGATCTTGCGGCTATTCCTGTCGCAGCCCCGGCAACCAAGGAAGGCGTTGAAGCTTTAGCCGATGCTATCGCGACAGCGTTCTCGGACGCATGGCTTGTTCATTCGACCGAGTCCAAACCTACCAAGTGTTCCAAGTCCTGGTGGACGGATGAGTGCTCGGAGACCTTCGGAGTATATCAGTTGAGCCGCTCGCTCGCTGATTACAACAAGTTTAAGAAGGTGTGTAAGGACGCCAAACGTGATTTCTTCGATGAACGTATTGCAGAAATTCGCGTCGCCACCCTCTCAGACACTCACCCCCTTCGCTCTATGATGGGCGAGGGACTTCTCAAGCGAGCTGCACCACACGCTCGCTCTGCCGCCTTGATGACCCCAGCCATGCGGGGGAAAGTCAAGAGCACTGTCATGGAAGTGGACGAGCGCGTCCACACCTTAACTGAGAGCTTCGAGCCCTTTGCGCCCGAAGCTCGTCCAGGCGACCGGTTACTGGACCGCTATGCGGACCGTCTCCATTTTGACGAGCGTGATCCTGGCCAGGATAGGCGCCCATATCTAGACGAGCTCATTGCGAAAGCAAGGGCCGACCCACTAACAGTACTGGCTGCAACTGATGGCTCTGTCCCTCAGTCCAACCAGTACCAGGCGGCTTCGGCTGCTATAATCTACAAGGGACATCGCGAGCTCGAAAGGACCCGCTATGTCTCTGGCAGAGTTACCGCCCCAGATGCGGAACTCAATGCCATCTCGTGTGCAGTGCGCCTTGCTGTCAAGCAGGCAAACTGCCAACATATTATGGTCTTCACTGACTCTATGGGCTGAGCCCATAGAGCGGTTGACCCCGGCGTGCATTCTGGTCAGGCTTTTAGTCTGTCAGTATGTCGCGCTCTTCAAGAGTGGTTTGAGGCGGATGATCTCCGTCGCATTACCTTCGTCTACGTCCCTTCCGCTATGCGGTGGGATATCCATGGTGAAGCACACAAGTACGTCACCGAACTCAAAGTCAGGGTTGGGCGTCGCAAGACGGACAACTCCATAGACGCGCTTCGCTCTCGAGCTGCGCACTCAGTCTTGGATTCGTGGAGTTCCACTTTCCAAAATCCAACCTACCGAGGCTCTGAGTTTTTAGAGCTTCAACAGCCTGACGGGCGGCCGCTACAGCCATCGTACCTCAATGGGGGACCTTGGCTTTCAACCTTCGGACACAGTATTACTGAGTTCGCCCGCGTTTGCCAGTGTATAACTGGCCACGCGCCCATTGGAGCGTATTACCGTCGCTTCAAGATCAACGAGCCTCATGGCTGCACTTGCGGGGCTGCTCTGCAGTCCCGCCAGCATATCCTCTTTCGCTGTCGCGACAGATATTCTGTACACTATCCCCGTTTTCTCGGGGATATTGCATCGTTTATGAAGTACAACCCTACGGCGTTTGGCTTCAACCGGGACCCGTCGGGTGTCGGATAATCGTGGTGGGCGGGGTTGTTCCTCCTTTCAGGGGATTTATGGTGAATTGACACCACCGAGCTCTAGGGTTCGAAGACCTGCGCCTACCGCTATTTCTTTGCGCTTGCGGCCGCTATTGTAGCGGGTTGCGGCGCCGCTAATTTTCTGCGTCTGGTTTCGGGCAGGCGCTTCTCTGGCTTGTCGGCCTCAAGACACTCCGCCACCTCCCGGGTGGTGCTTTTCTTATCTCATTTGCGCTGCATGGCCTCCGAACAGCGATCGACGACTTTGGGGCGTAGCGGAACCTCGATGGTTTCCTCCCCTTATCCCGATGCACCGTTTTCGCGAGGTGGGTTGCCCTCTGGGGAGTTTCGGCGTTTGAGCCCAAAGGGTCTTGGTTGGGGGGGCGGTCGTCCTTTAGTGGTTTACTTAGTAACCAGGCTGCGTAGCGTACGTGTTTGTAGATAGCAAGCGGGCTGCCATCGAGCACCGCTATATAAATTGTTGATCAAAAAAAAAAAAAAAAAAAAAAAAAAAGTGAGTGGGCTGACTTCTCGGAGCATGAGTTGTTGAGTGCCCTCAAGGGGTGCTCCAACTCCTCTGCACCAGGACCGGACCACGTTACATGGGTCCACCTAAAGGAGCTGCTCAAGGATAAACACGTCCTTGCGCTCTTCATCGTGTTGGCCAACGCTTGCCTTCGGGTGGGTCATTGGCCACATATATTTAAGGAGTCGCTATTGGTTATCGTCCCGAAGCCGAATAAGCCCTCCTATTCTGTGCTGAAGGCCTTCAGGCCGATCGTACTCCTCATCACTTTCGGTAAACTTATCGAAAAGATGATTGCCAATAGGATACAGTTTGACGCCGTCAAGCATGATATCTTTCATCCCAACCAACTGGGCGGCATTCGCCAGAGGTCAACTGAGGATGCTGGATTGATTCTGACTCATCTCATGCGAGCGGGGTGGGTTAAGGGTCTCCAGACTAGCGCGCTGGCTTTTGACATCGCGCAGTTTTTCCCTTCTATCAACCATGAGATGTTCATGGCCGTACTTCGCAAGCAAGGGTTCTCGCCGGACTTGGTGGAATTCTTTGCCTCTTACCTTGTAGGTCGTTCCACAGTTTACTGTTGGAACACCTTCCAATCCGACTCATGGTCTGCGGACGTGGGTGTCAGGCAGGGCTCTGCTCTCTCGCCTGTTATCTCTGGGCTGTTCATTGCTCCGGTAATGAAGCTCTTCTACATCAAGGCGGCACCACTCAACATGACGCTGCTTTCCTTTGTGGATGATGGGACCATTCTGGCCCAATCCAAACAGCTTGATGATAATAATGTGGGCCTGCGTAAGGCCTACAAAATTATCTACCTTCTCTTTGTTGCTTTCGCACTCGTTCTTGAACACGACAAGACCGAGTTGTTCCACTTTTCGTGTCGACGAGACGCCTATAATCCCTCGCTGGATTTGGGGTACGCCCCGCATACCGGCGCTACACCTTTGAAGCCCAAGACCTATTGGAGGTACTTGGGTTTCTACTTTGACCGCGGGCTCACGTTTCATGAGCACGTTCGCTACTACGCCACCAAGGCGTTTACCACCGTGCAGGCCATGCGCATGCTCGGGAACTCTACTAGAGGTCTCTCGCCTAAACAGCGCCGCCTCTTATATAGGTCGTGTGTGGTTCCCATTGCCACATATGGCTATCATCTCTGGTATTTCGACGGCGCCCGTAATAAGGGCGCGATGAACCAGTTAAAACGGATGCAGCGAAAAGCTGCTCTATGGATCACGGGTGCTTCCGCACCTCACCCACAGGCGGTCTTGAGGCCCTCGCTGGCCTCATCCCCGTCCATCTCATGCTGAAGAAGTTGGCGACGCGCGCAGTGTACCGCGTCGCCACCCTCTCAGACACTCACCCTCTTCGCTCCATGTTGGGCGAGGGACTTCTCAAAAGGGCCGAACCTCATGCCCGCTCGGTCGCTTTGATGACCCCAGCTATGAGGGGGAAAGTCAAGAGCACTGTCATGGAGGTGGACGAGCGCGTCCACACCTTAACTGAGAGCTTCGAGCCTTTTGCGCCTGAAGCTCGCCCAGGCGATCGGTTATTGGACCGCTATGCGGACCGTCTCCGCTTTGACAAGCGCGATCCCGCCTAGGATAGGCGACCATATCTAGACGAGCTCATCGCGAAAGCGAGGGCCGACCCATTAACAGTACTGGCTGCAACTGACGGCTCTGTCCCTCAGTCCAACCAGTATCAGGTGGCTTCGGCTGTCATCATCTACAGGGGACATCGCGAGCTCGAAAGGACTCGTTATGTCTCTGGCAGAGTTACCGCCCCTGATGCGGAACTCAATGCCATTTCGTGTGCAGTGCGCCTTGCTGTCAAGCAGGCAAATTGCCAACATATTATGGTCTTTACTGACTCTATGGGCGCAGCCCACAGAGCGGTGGACCCCGGCGTGCACGCTGGTCAGGCTTTTAGCCTATCAGTCTGTCGCATTCTTCAGGAATGGTTTGCAGCGGATGATCTCCGCCGGATCACCTTCATCTACGTTCCATCCGCGTTGCGGTGGGACATTCACGGTGAGGCACACAAGTACGTCACCGAACTCAAAGTCAGGGTTGGGCGTTGCAAGACAGACAATTCTATAGACGCGCTATGCTCTCAAGCTGCGCACTCAGTTCTGGATTCGTGGAGTTCCACTTTCCAGGATCCAACCTATCGAGGCTCCGAATTTTTAGAGCTTCGACAGCCGGATGGGCGGCCGATCCAGCCATCGTACCTCAATGGGGGACCTTGGCTTTCAACATTCGGACACAGTATTACTGAGTTCGCTCGCGTTTGCCGGTGTATAACTGGCCATGCGCCCATTGGAGCATACTACCGTCGCTTCAAGATCAATGAGCCTCACGGCTGCACTTGCGGGGCTGCTTTGCAGTCCCGTCAGCACATCCTCTTTCGCTGTCACGATAGATATTCAGTACACTATCCCCGTTTTCTCGGGGATATTGCATCGTTTATGAAGTACAACCCCACGGCGTTTGGCTTCAACCGGGACCCTTCGGGTGTCGGATAATCGCCTCGGGCGGGGTTATTCCTCCTTTTGGGGGATTTAGGGTGAATCGACACCACGGACTCTAGGGTTCGGCGACCTGCGCCAGTTCCTCTTCTTCGTGCTTGCGGTCCGCTATTATAGCGGGTTGCAGCACTGCTAACATTCTGCGTCTGGTCTCGGGCAGGCGCATCTCTGGCTTGTCGGCCTTAAGACACCCTGCCACCTCCTGGGTGGTGCTGTTCTTATTTCATTTGCGCTGCGCGGCCTCCGAATAGCGTTCGACGGCTTTGGGGTTTAGCGGGGCCTCGATGGTCTCTTCCCCTTATCCCAGTCACCGTTTTCGCGAGGTGGGTCTGGCTTTGTGGGAGTTTAGGTGTTTGAGCCACAAGGCTCGTGGTTGGGGGGGCGGACGTCCTTTAGTGGTTAACTTAGTAACCAGGCTGTGTAGCGTACGTGTTTGTAGATAGCGAGCGGGCTGCCATCGAGCACCGCTATATAAATTGTTGATCAAAAAAAAAAAAAAAAAAGAGGCCCTGCTAAACCCCAAAGCCGTCGAACGCTGTTCGGAGGCCACGCAGCGCAAATGAGATAAGAAGAGCACCACCCGGGAGGTGGCAGGGTGTCTTGAGGCTGACAAGCCAGAGATGCGCCTGCCTGAAACCAGACGCAGAGAGTTAGTGGCGCTGCAACCCACTACAATAGCGGCCGCAAGCGCGAAGAAATAGCGGTGGGTGCAGGTCTTCGAACCCTAGAGCTCGGTGGTGTCAATTCACCATAAATCCCCCGAAAGGAGGAACAACCCCGCCCACAACGATTATCTGACACCCGAAGGGTCCCGGTTGAAGCCAAACGCTGTGGGGTTGTACTTCATAAACAATGCAATATCCCCGAGAAAACGGGGATAGTGTACAGAATATCTATCGTGGCAGCGAAAGAGGACGTGCTGGCGAGACTGCAGAGCAGCCCCGCAAGTGCAGCCATGATGCTCATTGATCTTGAAGCGTCGGTAGTACACTCCAATGGGTGCGTGGCCAGTTATACACCAGCAAATGCAAGCGAACTCCGTGATACTGTGTCCGAAATATGAAAGCCAAGGTCCCCCATTGAGGTACGATGGCTGTAGCGGCCTCCCATCAGGCTGTTGAAGCTCTAAGAATTCATAGCCTCGATAAGTTGGATCCTGGAAAGTGGAATTCCACGAGTCCAGGACTGAGTGCGCAGCTCGAGAGCGTAGCGTGTCTATAGAATTGTCTGTCTTCTGGCGTCCAACCCTGATTTTAAGCTCAGTGACATACTTGTGTGCCTCACCATGGATATCCCACCGCAAAGCAGACAGAACATAGACGAAGGTGATGTGGTGGAGGTCATCTGCTTCGAACCACTCTTGGAGAGCGCAACAAACTGACAGGCTGAAAGCCTGACCAGAGTGCACGGAAGGGTCGACCGCTCTATGGGCTCAGCCCATAGAGTCAGTAAAGACCATAATATGTTGGCAGTTTGCCTGCTTGACAGCAAGGCGCACTGCACACGAGATGGCATTGAGTTCCGCATCTGGGGTGGTAACTCTGCCAGAGACATAACGAGTCCTTTCGAGCTCGCGGTGTCCCTTGTAGATTATAGCAGCCGAAGCCGCCTGATACTGGTTGGACTGAGGGACAGAGCCATCAGTTGCAGCCAGTACTGTTAAAGGGTCAGCCCTCGCTTTCGTGATGAGCTCGTCGCGATACGGTCGCCTATCCTGGGTAGGATCGCATTCGTCAAAGTGGAGACGGTCTGCATAGTGGTCCAGTAACCGATCACCTGGGTGAGCTTCGGGCGCAAAGGGCTTGAAGCTCTCAGTTAGGGTGTGGACGCGCTCGTCCACTTCCATGACGGTGCTCTTGACTTTCCCTCGCATGGCTGGGGTCATCAAGGTGGCTGAGCGAGCATGTGGTGTGGCTCGCTTAAGGAGTCCCTCGCCCCTCATAGAGCGAAGAGGGTGAGTGTCTGAGAGGGTAGCGACGCGATACACTGCGCACGTCGCCAGCTTCTTCAGCATGAGATGAACGGGGATGAGGCCAGCGAGGGCCTCAAGACCGCCTGTGGGGGAGGTGCAGAAGGCACCAGTGATCCATAGAGCAGCTTTTCGCTGCATCCATTTGAGCTGGTTCATCGCGCCCTTATTATGGGCGCCATCATAATACCAGAGACAATAACCGTATGTGGCAATGGGAACCACACATGACCGATATAAGAGTCGGCGCTGTTTAGGCGAGAGACCTCTGGTAGAGTTGCCAAGAATGCACATGGCTTGCACAGTGGTAAATGCCTTGGTGGCATAATAACGAATGTGCTCATGGAATGTGAGCCCGCAGTCAAAATAGAAGCCCAAGTACCTCCAATAGGTCTTGGGCTTCAAAGGTGTAGCGCCAGTATGTGGGGCGTACCCCAAATCCAGTGAGGGATTGTAGGCGTCTCGTCGACGCGAAAAGTGGAACAGCTCGGTCTTGTCGTGTTCAAGAACGAGCGCGAAAGCAACAAAGAGAAGGTAGATAATCTTGTAGGCCTTACGCAGGCCCACATTATTATCATCGAGTTGTTTGGATTGGGCCAGAATGGTCCCGTCATCCACAAAGGAAAGCAGCGTCGTGTTGAGCGGCGCTGCTTTGATGTAGAAGAGCTTCATTACCGGAGCAATGAACAGCCCAGAGATAACAGGCGAGAGGGCTGAGCCCTGCCCAACACCCACGTCCGCAGACTGCAAGTCGGATTGGAAGGTGTTCCAACAATAGACTGTGGAACGACCAACAAGATAAGAGGCAAAGAACTCCATCAGAACTGGCGAGAACCCTTGCTTGCGGATTACAGCCATGAACATCTCATGGTTGATAGAAGGGAAGAACTGCGCGATGTCAAAAGCCAGCATGCTAGTCTGGAGACCCTTAACCCACCCCGCTCACACGAGATGAGTCAAAATCAATCCAGCATCCTCAGTGGACCTCTGGCGGATACCGCCAAGTTGGTTGGGATGGAAGATATCATGCTTGACAGCGTCAAACTGTATCCTGTTGGCAATCATCTTTTCGATAAGTTTACCAAAAGTGATGAGGAGTACGATCAGCCTGAAGGCCTTCGGTACGGCGTAGGAAGGCTTATTCGGTTTCAGAACGATAACCGATAGCGACTCCTTGAATATATGCGGCCAATGACCCACCTGAAGGCAGGCGTTAGCCAGCACGATGAAGAGCGCAAGGACGTGTTTATCCTTGAGCAACTCTTTTAGGTGGACCCATGTAACATGGTCCGGTCCTGGTGCAGAGGAGTTGGAGCACCCCTTTAGGGCACACAACAACTCATGCTCCGAGAAGTCAGCCCACTCACAGACCGGCTCGTCGGGAAGCTCGTCTAAGACTGAGGCGTCGTACTCGCGACCAGAGGCCGAGTTGTACGTGCCGTGGAGGGCGTCCCAGAGGTCGTCCATATCATGGCAAGGCTGATCGCCATTGCAAATAGCCTCACAGGGTGGTAGCTTGCGCTGTTTGACCCATTCCATTAGGTCCCACGGGCGCTTGCGAGAGGTAGCGATTTCTGCGATGCGTTCATCAAAGAAATCACGCTTGGCGTCCTTACACGCCTTCTTAAACTTGTTGTAATCAGCGAGCGAACAGCTCAACTGATATACTCTGAATGTTTCCAAGCACTCATCCGTCCACCAGGATTTGGAGCGCTTGGTAGGTTTGGACTCGGTCAAATGGGCAAGCCAAGCGTCCGAGAACGCTGTTGCAATAGCATCGGCTAAAGCTTCAACGCCTTCCTTGGTTGCCGGGGCTGCAACAGGAATAGCTGCAAGATCCCGGAGAATATCCGAAATGAAAGACTTTTCAGCCTCGCCTCCGGGTTTAATTGTCCGTTGCCCAGATCCAGGCGGTTCGGGACCGATATCAAGATCTGTGCAGATCGGGACATGATCTGACAGACCCTGGAGATCACGCTCCAATCTGGGCATCGAGATTAGAATCTCAGATGGAGCTAAGAATACAAGATCCAAGACATTGGATCTCTGGTTTGGATTAGGACTGATCTGCGTCGGTCCATGGTTAGAAGGTCGTGCCCACTCGAGGCCGATCTGAGATGCGGTGTCCCGCAGGGATATTGCCGTCGACGACTCGCCATGCTCATAGTCATCCCAAGTCGTTGACACGCAGTTGAAGTCACCGGCCATATAAATGAAGGGTGGTAGAGAATGCACATGAGCAGCAAGGTGCTCAATGGCTGTGTGTTGATTGTCAGAATAGACGTTCATTAAGTTAAGAACCTCACCCCCGCTAAAGAGGGAGAGGACGAGGATGTCGCGACGCATAGCGGGACAATAGCAGGAGAGCCTAGTCGAAACGTAGGCGATCACGCAGGGAACTTCCCCTTCCTTAATGTGCACCATTTGCAGCCAGTCTGGATGCTTTGGTGCGCCAATAACCTCATCACCCTCCATACTTGTGGTAGACGGTGCGTGTCTTATGAAATTCCAAGGCATTTCTTGGAAGAATAAAATATCAAATTTGTTTTTACAAATTTTGAGGAGAGTGTCTACGTGTGCATATGTGTGATGAACGTTCTGACAATAAATACGTAACCCGCTACTTAGATCCTGATGGTTTCCCAACATTAGTCTAGGTTCGGGGGTTCGTAAGTTGGCAGCGAGCAGCATGCTCACATACCTGATGATACTCGGCCATGATCCATTCATGGTTGTAGCAATGGGCCCAGAACTTGCACGACGCTGAATTGGTGGTGTGGTCCTTGTGGCAGTTGACACAGCGGCCCTTGTGGGGGCAGGGCTGGTCACGAGGGGTGGGCAGCACAGGAGGCTTTGCTTTCGCGTTGCCCTTGCAACATCCCGCATGTTGACGGTGCTCTTTCTGCTCGTGCGGACCCGAGCAGATAGGGCAGGAGAGTTGTTTCGCCTTGCAGGCAATGGTGGGGTGGCCCCACTTCCAGCAGCGCTGGCATAGCAGAACCCTGGTGTGTCGCGCGGCAGGCCTGATTGCGCAGGACCACCCAGCAAGGAAGATCGGTTGGCCTAAGGCCTTCTTGGTGTGGGTTCCCTGCTGGGAGTCCCAAATGTTGCAATAGATGGTGCACGAAGTCGAGTGCACCGAATTGCGATCGATCCGAGGCTTGGTGCTCAGATAGGCAAAGACCTCAGTGTGAACCGAGGTACGGAGGGCCTTTTCAAGCGCCTCCTGGGTGATCTTCAGCCCTTTTGGATCGAAGTAGGGAACATCGAGTATCTTTATAAAAGACGTCGATGATGGGAGCACAACCTCGAATGGGGTACCCGTTGGGAGGCTTTCGCAGATGAAGTTGCGCAGTATGTCCAGGTTGGACGGGCTGGCAACAGCGGGGGTGACCAATGACAAACTGTCATAGGCGCGGACAATGGAGGTGACCTTTAACATAGATCGCCCATCCCTGAGATATCCGTTGGCTGCACGAACAGCCGACTCGGTGAAGAACTTCGTGAGGTCGGGAGGGGTACCCCCGAATGACACGAGAACTTGCTTCCAGGTGGGGCCCTCGGAAGTAAAAGAGGGAACGGACCAATGAGGAGAAGTCTTCATCAGGCCCGTCGGGAACGCGGGGGGAGGGGAAGGCCCACGACGTTGCGGTCCCAAGCCAGGAGGCGGGGGAGGCATCGGAGCGGCCTGTCATGCGATCCCTGCCCATGTCGTTGGACGGGGCTTGGGCTTGGTGGTGCGGTTGATCGGCGGAGGCGGACCAGGGCGAGAGTAGGCCACCTTACTCTTCTTCTGAGGAGGAGGTGGGACCGGACGATCAACACCCTTACGCTTCTTGGAAGCGGGGATGTGAGGCAGGGAGGCCAGGCGACCAAGGTCGTCCAAAGCCTGCATGAGGACATCGGGTGGGGCCCCTACGCCAGCGACACCCTCATTGAGCGGCCCATGGGCAGCAGGGGGGGGAGGCCTGAAAACAGGAGCCAGGTGGATGGTCGGCTCGGCCTTGGAAGACGTCTCGGCCTCAAGGAGAGAGGCGAGTGAGAAGTTGTCGAGTTTGCCTGGCCCGCGAATACGACTAAAGTCAGTGGCCATGACGGCATTCACGAAGGACGTCATCTGGGCCATGAAGGCATCGCCCCCATTGATGGTGAGCGGATTGTGGTGCATGGCCCGCAGAACCCAGTCTGTGGCCTTCGCAATGGAGGTGGTCAATACCTCAAGATCGCCAGGAAGATCCTCGACTGTGTCTCGGAACTTCAAGGCGTATTGACCTAGAAGAAGGTCGACGGAGGGGTCCCTCGAGACCTCCTCCCCTCCCTGAGTGCCCTCTACCTCCATCTCCTGGGGGTGGGCCGTCCCTGAGTCAGACTCATCTGCGGACGAATGGGCGGAACCCGTGGTGGAACGGGACCTGCGGCGAGGCGACGTGTGGCGAGATCGAGCTGGCACGACCGTCGAGTATGTGGCCCTAGTCGAGGTAGGGTCTGGCGAGATTGGCAAGGCATCACCACCAAAAGACGATGAGCCAGCGACTGATGGTGGTATTGCTGGTGGTGCGGAGCCTGAGTCCCCCCCACGACAGCTCCTAGGAACCGCCCCAGGGGGCCTCACGCCCCGACCTCTCGGTGGGAGGTCGGACATGGTTTGCAAATGCGGTGTGAACGTTCAGGCAGGGTGGTCTGACTGTAAGATAATGTGGTAGACGATGTGCGAGACAATGCGCTGGTTGTTTGCATGTGTTTACAAGTGGGCGTTCAAGAGAAAGAGGCTGACCAGAGACGATAACCGTACGTGGCAATGGGAACCACACACGATCTATATAAGAGGCGGCGCTGTTTAGGCGAGAGACCTCTGGTGGAGTTCCCAAGCATGCGCATGGCCTGCACGGTGGTGAACGCCTTGGTGGCATAGTAGTGGACATGCTCATGAAAGGTGAGCCTGTGGTCAAAGTAGAAGCCCAGGTACCTCCAATAGGTCTTGGGCTTCAAAGGTGTAGCGCCGGTATGCGGGGCGTACCCCAAATCCAGCGAGGGATTGTAGGTGTCTCGTCGACGTGAAAAGTGGAACAGCTCGGTCTTGTCGTGTTCAAGAACAAGTGCGAAAGCAACAAAGAGAAGGTAGATAATCTTATAGGCCTTACACAGGCCCACATTATTATCATCAAGTTGTTTGGATTGGGCCAGAATGGTCCCATCATCCACAAAGGAAAGCAGTGTCGTGTTGAGCGGCGCTGCTTTGATGTAGAAGAGCTTCATTACCAGAGCAATGAACAGCCCAGAGATAACAGGCGAGAGACCTGAGCCCTGCCTGACACCCACGTCCGCAGAGCGCAAGTCGGATTGGAAGGTGTTCCAGCAGTAAACTGTGGAACAACCAACAAGATAAGAGGCAAAGAACTCCACCAGAACCGGTGAGAACCCTTGCTTGCGAAGTACAGCCATGAACATCTCATGGTTGATGGAGGGGAAATTTTTTCTTCTTGTTTACCATCTATCGTATATGTGCTAAACTATATACAGATTCAACAGAATAAATTCTGCTCTCATGAAGCTGAATTTGAATGCTTAGCTGTTCCTGATCAATGTGCAGGAGGAATTAAGTATGCTTCACTCCAGAATCTTCAAAATTATGCACTTTCTAAGGATCACTTATCTAGGTTTTCTTCTAGTGCTAAATTCACATTTGTGACTCAAACACCTTATAAAGACCATACATCAATAGCATCCGATGACAGTATGTTAATTTGCCAGATTCCTCTCCAACTCATCTCATCTTTTCTCAATTTAGATCAACTCAAAAATATTGCTCAACTCCATAACATACAAGGTGATCCAAAGTACAAGCAATCAGAATTTCTCAAGCAGATTGAACAACATACCTGTGGTCTGCAATGTTTTGACTTGGTTTCAGTTTGGAAATCAATATCTGATTGCTCTAATAGCCAATGCCAGCAGAATTATCGTGACAGAAAGAAGAAGAATATTTTAAAAACTGAGAAGCCACAATGTATAAATAGAGATCATGGTTTGTTTCCTCCTCCTCCTCCTTCACATACCTTGATGCAGCGCATCATTTCAGACTTTGTGGCTGACACCAGCCCAGAGAAATTTATTGAAGCAGGCTGTACAGTTTGTGGCCTTTTGAAACCCATAAAACAGCTCAAATTACTTGCAGATGCTCAGATATTGCTCAATCCACTTTGCCTTCCTAACATAACACGTCTTGAAAGAAAGTCCACAACAGATCCAATTCAAGACATTCCTGGTCCGGTTATTGATCCAGACTGTAAGCACATATGCCAAGGCTGTTGCAAACAGCTTAAGAAAGGGAAAGTACCACCTGCAGCACTGGCAAATGGCTACTGGATTGGAAAGGTGCCCCATGTGCTGTCGCATCTTACCTATGTTGAAAAACTGCTCATTTCCCAAGTGTGCCACAACCGCTGCATTGTTAAAGTTGCCTCTGGTAGATACAAAATGCGAGCTAATGCTATTACCTTCCAGAATCCAACACCCAAGATATACAATACTCTTCCTCCTCCGGTTGCAGATCTTGATGAGGTATTAGCATTTATATTCACAGGTCCATGCAAGCCTACAAAGCAGGATATTGAACACATGCCACTTCTAGTATGTTGGAACCTTGTAGCTGAAGCTCTAGAGTGGCTCAAGCTAAACCATTTGGACTATAATGATATCAACATTTCTCTGCAAAATCTGAGTGAGTATCCTGAACATGATACTCCTGTTGTCATTGACTTTCGCAAGTTTGTTATCAACAAAGATCGAGAAGCCACTAGTGTACATGACAATGAAGAAGAGGACGGTGTTGAAACTGGTCCATGCTCGTTCACTGTGCAAGGCTTGACAGGAGAGCAGTATTCAAATATGTCAATCAATGCAATAAAGGCACATGCCTTGGAACATCTAGTTAAAAATGGACATATCATGTTTGTCGGGCATTCAAAGAATCCTCTCAGCTTGTTCAACAACCCTCAGTTATTTCCCTCAATGATGCCATGGCTTTTTCCATATGGTTATGGCAGTATTGGCCAGATTTGTCTTAAAGGCAAAGACTCTCAGTTAACTCAGAAACGGCACATGTTGTTATATCATGACAAGCACTTCCAGCTTGATCCCAACTTCCCTCTCATAGCATTCAATCAGGAGCAAATTCAGCAGAGTCCACAAGGCAGCTATCTCACAGCAGACAAGGCTTTCTTTCCTGAAGTTGCTGACCGACTTTTACACATCAATCCATCTATCTTGACCAATATCAGTCAGTGGTTGTCTCAAGGCAAGAGAGTCAAACCAGAATCAGAGGCCAAGAAGGCTTGCTTTCAGCTTATTAATGACCTGGACTGTGTAGGCGGACATGTTGAAGGCTCACTGGCTAGCAAAAAGCACATGCGGAATGAAATATGGTCGCTCATCTCCTACATGGGTTGTCCATCCTGGTTCATTACTCTGTCTCCAGCTGACAATAAGCATCTGATATGCTTGTATTTTGCTGACTGTAATATTGAATTCAAGCCAGAAATTCCCTTGCCTGATGATGCATACTGCCTCATTGCTAGCAACCCAGTTGCAGCTGCACGTTTCTTTCATTTCATGTGCGAGAATTTTATCAAGCATGTTCTTGGAGTCGGTACAAAACATCCTGGACTGTATGGAAAAACCAATGGCTACTATGGAACTGTCTACTCTGCATCTTCACTCTCCTT